CCCTTTTCGTTGGTCAGCAATGTTAGAATAATCCGATGCACTCCATCGATCTACCAAGGACCAAGCAATCACACGATGCACGACACCGAGATTTGTTAACGGGGTTCACCGATATGGCTACATCCCCGGGGCATGACTACGGGCGCTCCTCCCCACGACACCGTCACAATACCGCACCCTGGCCGCCCAGGCGCCGGCACACGCCGCCGGCTCCCCCGCGTGCCCGTGCTATTATGTTGGCATAGGTTATATCGTGCGTCTACCCCCGCTATATATGAGAGGCCTAGGATACAAGTGTCCTATTTGGACACGACTCCATATCCTGTCTACACACCGTACGACTCCAAGTCCAACTGTAACCTAACTTGTACAATAATATTCGACACAACTCTAACAAACTCCACCTTGACGAATATTCTTCACCACCTTGAATTCGTCCGTGCGTCAAACCTCCATGTACATTGGACTTGAGATACGCCATGAGCACCGTTGCTACTCTCAGACTCCATATGACTCCACCTGCAACTGTAGTCCCTTCTCGTCTTCTTCACAGTCAATACTCGAGCAAAATTAAGTTCCTCAATACTCTACTTTGTGCTCCCAACTTCCGAAGAATCCATTCAACACCATCACACACCGACCACTGTCTGCGTGAAAAATGAACAACTCACGTATTGAACGCCACAAATAAGAGTTACCTGAACTCAACATGACCGCTCTTTCTTGACCATCTATCTGAAACTTGAAGGAATTTCACCATCGCCCTGTGTCACCCTGAGTCAAATTCACAATTGTCTCATCCTTTTCCCGGATAGTCTTTGACATGTCCAATAGCTATAGCACTCCGCCTCCTTCTGTACTTATGATCGACACTTTGCAATGTGCACTAAACACCACAGAATATACGACCATGTACTCTTCCAGCTTTTGACCATTTCAGACTTTCCGCCACTTTCTCAGATTCTCCATGGTCAACTCCTGTCCATCAATCGGCACCGATAGACCTAGTCACCAACTTGAATCCGGTACTCGTCAACACTGCTTCAGCACCCCCTGCACACTTTGTCTGACCACATGTCTCACCATTAGTGCCTTGGTCTGTCGCTGTGTTCCGTGCTTACTGCACGCCTCGCCGCTATCACCGTATCGAGCCTTTGCTGTCCTGGTTGAGTCTCCAGGGTCGCGGACCCACACCACTCAAACCCCTACTGTAGAGAACCACCGATCATCACCGACCGATGTCGAGTATCACGTCTCCATAAGACCATTGGGCCCCAGTCCAATTGTTAGAATAATCCAAGGCACTCCGTCGATCTACCGAGGACCAAGCAATCACACGAGGCACGACACCGAGATTTGTTAACGAGGTTCACCGATATGGCTACATCCCCGGGGCATGACTACGGGCGCTCCTCCCCATGACACCGTCACAATACCGCACCCTGGCCGCCCAGGCGCCGGCACACGCCGCCGGCTCCCCCGCGTGCCCGTGCTATTATGTTGGCATAGGTTACATCGTGCGTCTACCCCCGCTATATATGAGAGGCCTAGGATACAAGTGTCCTACTTGGACACGACTCCATATCCTGTCTACACACCGTACGACTCCAAGTCCAACTGTAACCTAACTTGTACAATAATATTCGACTCAACTCTAACAAGCAAGAATCTTTTTTTGTTCAAAGAAAAGTGCTTACTTTAGCCATTTGCCCCCCCCCCCCGATACCATCACCCCATTACCTAATATATATATTGCGCATCTCAGTTGGAAGTTGATTCACATACATGGAGCTCATGTTAAATAGTGGATAAAAGGAGGAAAATAAATAATGAAGTTTTCTAAGAAAGAATGTGTTAGTGCCATTACTATTGCCCTTTAATAATAAAGAAAATAAAATAAATGATAACAAGATTTTGTACACAATTTAATCAAAAATTGCATTTTAATAATATACAAGAATAAACAAGTTATATTGAATTTTTTGGTAAAATTTATTTTTTCTTGAAGGGATGAATTACTGACATTAGAGTTACTGTTATAAAAGAAAGAAACTAAAGTAAAAAACTAAAAAAATCAAAATAATGAAGTTGTCTAAGAAATAATGGACTAGTAGCATTGTTATTACCCTTAAAAAGGAAATAAAAGGAACAAATAAAAGAAATTAAAACATTTTCGCACAATTTACACATAAATTCCGCTTTTTATTGTATGCAACAATTATCATATAATAGTTGATTTTTCTAAAAAAAACGGTTCTTAAGGATGAATAAATTACTGATACTGGTATTATCCTTAAAGAATAAAAAATTAAATAAAAACTAAGACAACATCTAAATAATGAAGTTTTAATAATAAAGAATGAACTAGTGATATTGATATTACCCTTTAATAAAAAAATACAAAAACCAAAATAAAGAATGGCAGCTTGAACACAATTCACAAAATAAATTGTGATTTTTTAAATATGCGAGAATAAGCATATAATAATGGATTTTTTGCACAAATAAATTCCTAAGAAGAATGAATTAGTGGCTTAAATATTACACATAAATAAGAAACAAAATTGAAATAAAAATAATATTAAAATAATGAAATTTTCTAATAAGTAATGAATTAGTGGAATTTGTATTACCCTTGAAGCTGAAAAAAACAGAGAGAATAAAAGAAATTACGCTGTTTCATAAATGTAAGAATAATTATATAATTGTGGATTTTTTGTCGAAAAAATGATACGGTGTCATTCCCCGCGTATCTTTTCATAAACACACACCATGCACACAACGGAGCTACTAATTCTTTTACTGCACACAACAGACCTTGAACAAAGAAATAGAATCGACAAGAAAACAAACACTTATAGGCATCGCATGCACAAAACACACGCGCACACACGTTATGCATCTGCTAATTTAGCTGATCAAGCCTCGTATGTGGATGCACCAGCCCAAAAGTATCAGCCGATGCTTTGACCAGGTAATAAACGGTTAGTGGAAAAATATCGACTGATTCTAACTTTATTCCTAGGACATTGTCCAATAGCTAATTTGGAAAAATAAACTGAGTCATAACGAACACAAGACAAAGTCACAAATATGACACATTCGATCTTCTATGTTTTACAGTGCAGATAACTCAAAAGGCTTGAGTGCTTGACAATGTACAATAACAACAAAAACTCGAACGTAAAGCAAACGAATTCATGCAGCAAGATAGAGTAGCAGGTACTTAGTTATCACTACAGGAAGTTTTTGTGGTCGGCTAGATCAGATGGGAGACGGTGCCGATGGCGGCGGGCTGCTGTTGTCGTCCCTGTAGAACTGCAGCACTGTGTAGATGGTCTGCATGACGGTCATGCCGAGGAGTAAGATGGCGGCGGCAAGGGAGAGAAACGCCCATGGGCTCCTGAAGTATGTGTGGATGAGGCTGGCGCGCCTAATGTTCCACGGCTTCCGCAAGTAGCCGTTCACCTGCCGCTGCACTGCGTCGAGCTCGCTGTTGGGATCGAGCATCACATCCCTGGAAATGGTGTTGAACAGCTTGGCCACAGCCTGGTCGCAGCCGATGGCGTTGTGGATGATACCCTTGGATCTCAGCAGCTCCACGTCCTTGGCGGAGTCGATGATGCTGTTCATGAAGAATACGTAGTCGGTCACGTCGTTGCCTGCGCCGACGTGCAGCCGCTCGAACGCCATCACGTTGAGGAACATGTACTCGGTGGAGTCGTCCACCGACACTGTCGGCATGCTCAGCGTGCCGCTCCGAAACTGGATGTCGTGCAGGCTCAACGTCTTGCTCGGCTTGAACTGAATCCCGGCTTGGTAGAGCTTCAGTGCTGACCGGATGATGGCGTTGTCCTCCTCAATGTCCTGGGGGCTCCAGATTTGATGGCACTTACCAGTGAGCATGCTCCGGCGAAAGACATCCAGTGGGTGGAGCCCTAGGCCGATGCCTGGTGGAAATGGGCTAGATGATTGGGCTAGAAATTTCAGCACCATTCGGTTGATGAAGTCGTTGTTCTGGCCATCATCCATGCATGTAATCATCAGCATCCATTAGTTGAAGAGAAAGAGACACCATATATTACTCTCAAAATAGTGCAAATTTCATTTTTTTTCTAACTTTTAACAACAGTATTTGGAAGGCAGAGTAGTTAATAATTACCGGAGGCTTTCCACTCTCAACCTCAACGAGCTTCTGGAGCAGGAGTAGAGGTAGCTGGTTCTCGAGCATGAGCATGTCTCGCCGAATGTAGGGCACCATGTTGAGTATCCCGTGGGGGCTGAAGATGGGGTCGTTGTTTGCGTACTCGCCGACCAGCTTCCCGTCGGCGGCCGTGCACCTCATCAGCTCCAGCAGGAAGCAGCCGTCGAAGATCATCATGGCCAGGAACTGCTCCCTGCCAAGGCTGCGCCACTCGCTGTGAAGGTCCATGTACGCGCCCTCCAGCTCCTCCGTGACCTCATCCACGACAGCAACGAAGTCGTCGAGCGGCCGGTCCGCGCGCCGGAGCAGCTGCCGCAATGCCCGGTGCTTGTGCTCCTCCATGTGGCGCAGGTCGCGGTCGCCGTGGTGGAAGGGGCCCAGCGACACCACCTGCGGCTGGTACGCCATGCTCTTGATGTTGGTCATGCATGGCGGCACGCGGTAGATGCAGTGAGGCTCCCACCGCGACACCTCCGCCGTCTTGTCGGCTTCCTTGAGCTTCTTCTCCACGTCCACCACCCACGTCCTCTTGCTTCTGTCGCCGCCGGCTGCCTCCATTGCGATTGATCTCTCTAAGATACAATGTGATTGCTATAGCTAGGATAGTAGATGTATGTGCGTGCAGGGGAGGTTAGCAGCTAGCTATATATAGACATATAAAGATCATGCTCGCCATATACGTTGCCTATGCATAATGCAACAAGGGTTACTTGCATTACATGCCACATTATAGTATGTTTATGTTATACTACCTTCGTCCTGGTTTATTGGTTCCCTTCGTATTTTGTGTCGAATTTTGACTAAAGATTTAACTAACAAAATGTTAATGCATGTTACCAAAAATTATGTCGTTGTTTTCCTATTTGAATATACTTTCTCATGGTATAAATTTTTTATGACATGCATTAATATTTTGTTAGTTATATCTATTATCAAACTTTAACATTATGAAGAGGACCAATAAACCAGGACGGAGGTAGTAATATTCTAGTATATCAATATCAGAAAGGGGGCATGGTCAATTGTTCATTCCATGTGGCCCATACAAGATGCTTGGGAGCATCTGGCCGGAGCCCTGAGGAAGCGAGGAATATGTGCTTACGTCAAAGTAGCTGTTGCCGGGAATGATAACATATGGTACAGGATGGAGTGTGGAGTAGGGGAGCCATCCCATGCATTTGTTTTTCTATAGTTTCTGCTATTTATAAGTGGTACAAATCACTGCAGACATGTGCACGCGTCGCGCCGTTGCGCCCAGATCGACCAAGACACACGAACAAGAGCAGAGGTGGTTTTCCGGTGATTTGTAGCACCGTGGTTGAGTAAATAGCATAAAATACCAAATTTAGGGTTAGGGTTACAGAAAACTACCATTTTCTTTCTAAATTCTCAAAAAATCTGTCACTATTTTGATTTGCTGTTCAAAAAAACCAATGACCATGTGATATAAAATTGATCCGGTTTATGCCAGGTTGGGTCCACTCCTAAACAAACCGTTTGTTGACTGTTTATTTGACCGATACTTATATGTGAGGCTCACATGAAAGCTCCCTCTTCTCTTTCTTCTCTCACCCTCCCTACATTATCTCTCTCCCCAGCCACACAGAAGGTCACACCATGGCCGGAGCCACAGCCAGCGCGCCATGGACGGCCAGCACCAAGGCCGGCAGCAGCCAGGCTGAGGTCGGCGCGGCTCGCCCACGGTTGGCGCGCCCAGCACCACGACCTGCAAAGCCAAGGACACGGCTGGCCGCCGCGTGCACCCACAAGGCAAGCAACGGTGGCGACATGCAGTAGCGGCGGCGGCAAGTAGCAGCGGCAGCAAGCGGCGACATGCTGTGACGACGGCTTAGCACCGGCTGGCCGCGGACGCGCGTAAGCTAGCTAGCTCCGGCTGGCCGCCGTATGCACTACCTCCGGTTGCGTCCGTCCGTGAGTTAGCTAGCTCCGGTTGGCTAGGGTCGTGGACCCGATGGCTTTCATTAAAAAAATCACAGGGACCTGATTGCATATTTACCGTAAATACTTGTCATCAAAATGAATAAAAGGAGATGTATCTAGATGTATTTTAGTTCTAGATACATCTCTTTTTGTCCATTTTGATGACAAGTATTTTCGGACGGAGGGAGTAGCTAATAGGATCTGATTGCTTGTTTCCGAATGTTACAGGGAATCAAATTCTTTTTTTAAAGTTATAGGAATCTGATTGCTTTTTCTGAAAAGTTATAGGGACTCGATTGCAGGAAACATGAATCAAACTCAAGACCACACTAACCAGCTAGGACATCCTAATGCTTGTGCGTAGTTACTTTTTTTCTTCTACTTTAGTTCGCGGCCGGGTCGGCTCATTGTTGAATCGGTCCTTTTATCACTATTTTTTTGTTTATCAAAAAATGGTCACGCTTACAAAATTTTGTTCATAAAGTACAAATATTCGTAATTTATAAAAATTGTACAGATATGTGAACAAATTGTTCGTGCCTTTCAAAATTGCTCAGAATGTCATAACACAAACATATTTTAAAAAGATCGAACAAAATTTTGTACACGAACTTTTCTGAAAACCAGTATGAAATTTGAAATTTAAAGAAAAAATAAGAAATAATGAACAATAAATTGAAACTAATTTATTTTGAATTTCCATGAACATTTTTTGTATTTGTGTAGAAAAAATTGAATACATGATTACTTTCCAAATTCCAAATAAATTTTAAAAGCATGAACATTATTTGAAAATCCAGAATTGCCGAAATCGCAAAAACATGGCATGGTGACACAAGGCCCTAGAAAAAAATTGGTCCATTTGAACGATGTCGAAAAAAAAGTACTCTGAGACGGATTTCCGCCCTACCCAAACACCCTACCCAAAAAAAATCCATTTAAATTCGTGAATATTTTTCTGAAATTCTTAAATTGTTTTCAAATTTTTTAACTTTTTCCATATCCAGGAACAATTTTCAGTTCTTACACACGTTTTATTAAATCCCGTAATTTTTTTAAACTCATAAACATTCTTGTTCAAAACTGATGAGCTTTTCTCAAAATGGTGAATGCTTGGGCTAGGCAAACAGGCACCCGACGGAAGCGATGCCGTCGCCCTGTTGGGCAAGGCTATAGCGTATTTTTGTCCATTATATTTTTCATTATTTCCTTTTTGAACTTTATTATTCATTTTAAAACTTGTTTTAAATTTTTTAATATTATTGGAATACCAAAAACTATTATTGTTTTCGAATTTTTTTTACAAATTAAAAAACTTTCTAGAATTTCTAAAAATGTTACCATTTTGTATTTTTTTTGTTCATAAATTTAATAAATTTTTGTGTTTTGAAAATATTGATAAATTTAAAAAAGTATATGTTTTGCAATTTATGTACAACATCAATATTTGGGAATTTATTAAAAAATTGGGAAAAGTGTTCATGTTTAGAAACTTTCATACACAATTGAAAATTCCAAAATTGTTGACAAATTTCAAGAAATAATTCGGATATAAGAAACTCTGCAAGTTCGTTGATAATGACAGAAATTCAAAATAACAAAGGCCTTGCCCTACAGGCCTACCCAAACCACCGCCTTTGAACATGACGTGTTTCTTGACATGCATGAAGATAGTAAATGTTGCCAGTGGGCATGCTCATTGGGGGTGTCCATGCATCGCATCGCATGCATTTGTTCTTTTTTTGTTTTCAAAAAATGGTCACGCTTACAATATTTTGTTCATAAAGTACAAATATTCGTAATTTATAACAATTGTACAAATATGTGAAAAAATTGTTCATGTCTTTCAAAATTGCTCAGAATGTCATAACACAAACAGATTTTAAAAAGAGCGATCAAAATTTTGTACACGAACTTTTTTGAAAACAAGTTTGAAATTTAAAGCAAAAATAGGAAAAGATGAATAATAAATTGAAAATAATTTATTTTGAATTTCCATGAACATTTTTTGTATTTTTGTAAAAAAAACTGAATACATGATTACTTCCCAAATTCCAAATAAATTATGAAAGCATGAACTTTATTTGAAAATCCAGAATTGTCGAAATCGCAAAATCTTGACATGGTGACACAAGGCCCTAGAAAAAAATTGGTCCATTTGAACGATGTCGAATAAAAGTACTCTGAGACGGATTTCTGCCCAACCAGAACGCCCTACCGAAATTAATTTCCATTTAAATTCGTTAATATTTTCCGAAATTCTTAAACATTGTTTTCAAATTGTTTAACTTTTTCCATATCCAGGAACACTTTTCAGCTCTTAGACACGTTGTATCAAATCCCGTAATTTTTTTAAACTCATAAACATTCCTTTTCAAATTTGATGAGCTTTTTTCGAAATGGTGAATGCATGGGCCAGGCAAAGAGGCACCCAATGGAAGCGGTGCCGTCGCCCTGTTGGGAAAGGTTATGGCGTATTTTTGTCCATTATTTTTTTCATTATTTATTATTTATTTTTGAACTTTATTATTCATTTTAAAACTTGTGTTAAATTTTTTTAATAATATTGGAATACCAAAAAATATTATTGTTTCCAAATATTTTTTACAAATTAAGAAATATCCCGGAATTTCTTAAAAAATTAGCATTTTTTTAGTTTTTGTTCATAAATTGAATAAAATTTTGTCTTTTCAAAATGTTCATAAATTTTTAAAAGTATATGTTTTGCAATTTGTGTACAACATCAATATTTGGGAATTTATTAGAAAATTTGGAAAAAGTGTTCATGATAGAATATTTTCATACACAATTTAAAATTCTAAAATTGTTGACAAATTTCAAGAAATAATTAGGATGTAAGAAAATGTGCAAGTTCATTGCTAATGACAGAAATTGAAAATAATAAAGGCCTTGCCCTACGGGCCTACCCGAACCACCGCCTTTGAACATGATGTGCTTCTTGACATGCATGAAATGACACTAAATTTTGCCAGTGGGCATGCTCATTGCAAGCGTCCATGCAAAATTTGAAGGAGCTCGGACACCGAACGCACATTGCATCACATTTGGCTAGTGTTGTTGGGGTTTTTCACCAGGAAAACCCTAGAAATGCATAAAATGTTAGAACTCAATGAAATTTATCATGGATGCTTGGCATTGTGATGCTAGTGTGTGGGAAATTTTTGGGTCCATTTGATTGATGAGATAAAAAAAGTGAATCCAGACTTGCCCTACCGGCCTAGCAGAACCACTACCTTTGAACATGGTGTGCTTCTTGCCATGCATGAAATGACGCCAAATTTTTCTAGCATGTAGGCATGTTCATGGTTGGCCTCCATGCAAATTTTGAAATAATTCGGACACTGAATGCACGTTGTGTCTTGTTCGGCTAGTGTTTTAGGGTTTTTTCACTGAAAACCCCCTAGAAAATGCATAAAATGACAAAAATCAATGAATTTATCATGGATGCTTGGCATGGTGATGCTAGTGTGTGGAAAAGATTTGGGGTCCATTCTATTGTTCTGGAAAAAAGGTGCATCCAAACTTACCCTACCGGCCTACCTGAACAACCAACTTTGAACGTGGTGTGCTTCTTGCCATGTATGAAATAACACCAA